AGTAAAAATGCAATATAATCAGTCAATTAAAATACATCAAGAAGGGGGGAGGAATATAATCATGCAATAAATGTAATCTTTTTCTTGTTTTGCAATTTACACTCCTTTGTTTATTGGTGTACAACCCTTGAAATGCTCTATAATGATAACAATAATAATGAAATTTTACTATTGATAAGGATACTATTACCAGTACTGATAGTAACAATAATAATAAGAATGAAGATTCCAAAGTCATTTCCTTGTCCCTTCCAAAGATAACTACCAGCACATGGGCTTTCCACAATTCAGAACAATTTCCTCCATCACTGAATGGCAATAAGACATAGATATTCCTACTGATATTAATCTCCATACTGAGATTCCGGTTTATACGTACTTGTACGTTTAATAACTTAAAATCAAGATATATATATATGTATATAAAATCACATTGCTAAAAACATCAATGGTACAAAAGCTTATCATTCACGTGACATAAGTTATAATAGATATATTTATGTGTGTATATATATGTAAAATTCTTTTTATAATGAATACATGCAACAAAATTAAGAGAGAGAAGTCTGTAATTCTAAAGGAAAATCCAACACATATAACAGACCTCAATAAAAGACAACCCATTTTCTTCGTTGATAAGTACAAACTTGATCGGCATAACCAGACGACAATATAACCTGCTGAGGACTCAATCACACATTCAAATGTCATCCAAGATCAAAGTATCATAAAAATTATGGGTACAGACATCTAAAAAAAAAAAAAAAAAAAAAAAAAGGAAAAAAAAAAAATAAAAATGGACCATTTCTTTAGCACTTCCCTTATAATAATAATAATAATAATAATAATAATAATAATAAAAACTCTTTCTCAACAACACTCCTTCCTTTGTTCACACACCATCAGTTCCTCCTCCAATGTTCCTTGCTTCTCTGCGGTCCCTCCAAACCCTGCTATACTCTTCCCCTTTTTCCCCTACTTTACCCCCACATTTCCCCCTCCTCTCTCCTTCCCTCCTCTTCCTTCTCCCTTCATTATACAATAGGACTATCGTCGTCGCCGCTGTCTACGACAAACTCTTCCCCTCTCTTGCCGAAGAGGTGCAATGTGGGGAGGCGGCTGCAGACTCCTGAGAGGATGCCATATCTTCTGTGGGCCATGGCCAGCACCACAGCTACTAAGATAATGGTGAAGGTGATGCCCAGGCCCAGGCCAAGACCAAGGTGGCTGGGAGAGTCGTCTGGAATGGTAGGAAGAACCCTTAGATGGAGACGAGGGTTGGGATGGTGCTTTTGTGATGATGATAACCCATGGTCATGAGGGTGCTATCGAGTGGTTATAGATACTGAGGGCTTGTGGTGATGGAGGGAGATCTTGATCGGGTTTTGTCATTCTGCCAATTGTGAGAATGAGGAGATATACTTCACAAAGTTAATGATGACAGTAATGATGTCCTTGTGCTGCTGCCACTGGGTATGATGATGATGATGGTGTGATGATGATGGTGTGATGATGATGATGATGATGATGATGATGATGATGATGATGATGATGGTGATGATGGTGGTGGTGATGGTGGTGGTGGTGGTGGTGTGGTGGTGGTGATGATGATGATGATGATGATGATGATGATGATGATGATGATGATGATGATGATGATGATGATGATGATGGTGATGATGACAATTATCATCACTATACTTACTACAATTACCAAATGTTATATATACAAAAAAAATAAAATAACCACAAATAAAGTAGTCCATCAAGCTGCAAAAGGGAGGAAAAAGTAGAGGAGAAAGAGGATGGAGCAAGGAGGAAGAGGAGGAGGAGGAGGAGGAGGAGGAGGAGGAGGAGGAGGAGGAGGAGGAGGAGGAGGAGGAGGAAGAGGAGGAGGAGGAAGAAGAGGAGGAGGAGGAGGAGGAGGAGGAGAGGAGGAGGAGGAGGAGGAGGAGGAGGAGGAGGAGGAGGAGGAGGAGGAGGAGGAAAAGAAGAGGAGGAGAAGAAGAAGAAGAGAAGAAGAGAAGAGAAAGAAGATGAACGAGGAGAAGAGAAAGAAGATGAAGAAGGAGGCAGAGAAGGAGGAGAAGGAGGAGGAGGAAGCCAAGAGAAGATGAAGTAGTAGAGTAGTAGTAGTAGTAGTAGTAGTAGTAGTAGTAAGTAGTAGTAGTAGTAGTAGTAGTAGTAAGTAGTAGAATAGTAGTAGAGTAGTAGTAGTAGTAGTAGTAGAGTAGTAGTAGGAGGAGAGGAGGAGGAGGAGGAGGAGGAGGAGGAGGAGGAGGAGGAGGAGGAGGAGAGGAGGAGGAGGAGGAAGATGAAGAAGATGAAGATGAGAAGATGAAGATGAAGATGAAGATGAAGATGAAGATGAAGAAAGTGAAGAAGGAGGCAGAGAAGGAGAAGAAAAAGGAGAAGGAGAAGGAGAAGGAATAGGAGAAACAGGAGGGAGAGAAGGAAGAGGAGAGAGAGAGAAGGAAGAGGAAGAAGAGGAGGAGGAGAAGGAGGAGGCAAAGATGGAGAAGGAGGAGAAGAAAAAAAAAGAATGGGAAGAAGGGGAAGAAATAGAAGGGAAGGAATAGAAGGATTAAGATTAGGATTAGGATGAAGAGGAAGGGAAGAACAAGAGGAAGGAATTGGAGAAGAAGAAGCAAAGCAAGAGAAGAGAAAAAGGAGAAGAGAAGAAAAAACTACATAGAAATTCCTTCTCTCTCACCAGGAGGTGGTTTTGGCTCCTCACACATGTTAGTCTCCGTGTTGAAGGTGAAGTTCGGCAAGCACTGGCACGTCCCACTCTGGCCCACCTCTTCCACCTTGCACATCTCATTCTCCGAGCATGACTCTAGGACTGTCGGGTTACAACTCTGGTAGCGGAAAGATGGGGGAGGGAGGAAATTAGATAAGGTTAGCTCTTTTGTCTTCTCTGCACTTGCTGTTTTTATTTTACTGATAGAACATAGACAGGAAAAAGGATATGCTAATGATGATGGGGAAAACAGTTTACTGTGTTAGTGAATCACACAGGAGGGTGCTCTCTGTTCTGCACACTATTCAAACACGTGAGTGTGGCATAGACTGCTATAATCTTTGAGCTACAGCCTTCCAAAGTTTGCATGAACTCATTGTTTTTCAAATTCTATTCAAAAATGATAGCCTGTCCAGCATCAAAGATATTGGGAATCAGCTTTATTCCTGCATTTCTGATTTTCATTCCATGAACAGACCTCTCTTGACATCAACCCTGGAACAGCAACCAGGGTTAACATTTCCCAGCTCCACTGGGTAAAAAAATTATATATTTCTAAACTATACTGCCATGTAAACCATGAAATATATATCTTAGGGTATATACATACATACATTATATATATATACATATATAATATATATATATATTATATATATTATATTATATAATATATATATATATAATATATATTTATATAAATGGCATAATAGACTATAAGACAAAGTTATTGAAAAAACTTTCCTGACAGGCCAATAAATACAAAGGATATGGGAAAACTAATGAAGCTATAAAAAGAGAAGAGAGAGAGAGAGAAAAAAAAAAGAAATTATCAAGAGAAAAAATTAAGAAAAAAACAGAAAAAAACTAAACAATCTCAATCTCAATAATACTGCGCAGGGTGCTAATGAGCGCATAACACGCATATGTGCTGCTGATTGGTTGCTGGGGGGAAGGGGGAAGGATCAAGGTGCAAGAGGAAGTGTCAGTGTTTGTGAAGGTGCTTGTAGTGTTAAGTGTTTATTTAGTTTGTATGTGAAAGTGTTGTGTTTTAGTTTCAATTATGTGTTGGGGGAGCCTGTTCCAGTCACGTATGGTATGTGGAAAGAATGAATGCTTGCAAGAGTTAGTGTTGGTGTGGTATGTGACAAATTTGCTGGCGTGTGAGTTCCTTGTATTACGTGAGTATGCTGTGTGTAAATATTCGTGTTTGTTGATGTCTACAAGGTTGTTTGTGATTTTGTACATGATTGTAAGTCTGTGTGCTTGTCTTCGTATCTCGAGCAGGTCCATGTTAATCTGTTTTTTTATGTGAGATGTAATACCAGGTGTATATGAGTAACTGTGTATAATTACCTGGCAGCCCTATTATTAACCTGTTCGAGTTTCTCAATGTTGTGCTTAGTGTAGGGGTCCCACAGAGCCGTACAGTACTCTAGTGTTGGGCGCAAAAGTGTGTTGCATGCTACATGTTTGATGTCAGGAATACAGTTGTGTAGGTTCCTCCTCAGAAACCCCAGTGTTCTGTTACCTTTATTGATGATAAAGTCGATGTGTGTATTGAAGGTGAGATTATTGGAAAGGTGTTAAGTGATGGTTGTGTAAGATGTAAGTGTAGTAGATTGGTGTGTGGGATCTGGTAAAGCGGAGCTTTTTGCACTTATCTGGTCTAAAGGACATTTGCCATAATCTTTCCCACTGTTCTAGCCTGTCAATGTTTTGCTGGAGGAGTCTACAGTCGTCTTCAGTTTTAATAGGTTGAAACAAAAGGCTGTCGTCAGCAAAAAGTCTAGCAGAAGAGTTAGGAGTCGCAAGGTCATTAATATACAGAAGGAAAAGAAGGGGACCAAGAACGGTGTCTTGTGGAACACCAGAAGAGACAGGGACAGGGTCAGAAGATATTGCCGTTGAGTAGACACGTTGGGTCCTACACATCAAGAAAGCAAACAACAACATAATGTATACGTATATGTATATGTATGTATGTATGTATGTATGTATGTATGTATGTATATATATATATATATATATATATATATATATATATATATATATATATATATATACACATATATACATATATATACATACATATCATATACATATATATATATATATATATAAATATATATATATATATATTATATTTATATATATATATATATAACCAATATATATTATTACAATACATATATTTACATACATATATATATATATACATATATAATTATATATATAATATATATATATATATAAT